ATTAGGCCCAAATTAGAAACTATTACCTGTTCTTTGCCCATCCTTCCCTCCAGCATTACCTATTTTAGCATCATCACATTCCCAGTCACTTGGGCTGATGCCTGCATATACCTGCATAGTGTGCTTTATATACATGTATCTTCACATACTTTCTCACTTAATCCTCACAGCAACCCTGTAAGTTAGCTGTTACCTCATTCTACTGAAAAATGGTCTGTAACTGGGAGAGATTAAGCCAAATGCTTTCCAGGACAGCAGGCCCTTGAAGATCTGGCCCCAACCTGGCCTCGCCTCTTCTGCATACATCTTATTCTCCAACCTTAATGAAATATGCATTATACTCAATACAATACACACCCGGGCAAGATTTTTCTAAGCCTTTGTTCTCACTTTTCCTTCCAGATTTTTCTATCTGAATTGGACTTAATCTTCACAACTCTAAAAAGCAAACATTTTCCTCAATTTTAAAGGTAAGGAATCCTTGGCTCAGAGGTTAAAGATCACAAAGCCTTGAAGTAACGGAAACATAAAATTCAGGTCGTCCTGATTTCCATCATGTGCCATACTGTCTTACAAAAACCACTAAATTATCTGTTTCCCGGTTTGTTTGTGTTTGCACATGCAGAGACGACATAAAAGCACAATGTAGCTTTCCATAATAACTCCCAAACAAGACGGGTAAATTGGTTCCCCACATCCCAATACAATGGGCCCCACCCCAATTACACGCGGACAGTTTACTCAATTCGTCTCAATAGTTGAGCCTAGGAGAATTTGTTTAGGCACCATTTCTGTAAAAATAAGACAGCTGAAAGACACTGTGCTAACATTCCACCAGCTCCAATAAGCAGATAAGCGACAGCCTTCAAGCGTTAGATCCCAAGGGCCCGCTGCTTGCGACCCTCGGCATTTTAAACGGAACTGCTGTCGGTTCCAATGTAATGAATAACACACAGCCCAGAATGAAAACTATGAGAGACTAGCATCCAGAATGACGCAGGTTCAAAGACTTCCACGCTCCGGATTGGCAATCGTCGGTAGAAAACCGAAAGAATCCCTCCAGAGAGCTGCTTCTGCTGGGAGGACTAAAAGGGCTCTCCTGAAGAACAGGAAATGAGCCATACCCACGCAAGACCGGGATAAGAGTGCAGAGCACGACCCCGCAGTGCCGCGCGCCAGGCCCTGGGAGCGATACCTTTGGCCGCAGAAATGTTGCTGAAGCGGATCTGGGCTGGCTTGTCGCGGTCCTGATACGCGCTTTTTCCGCGGCCGCCGGCAGCTCCGGCTGGCGCCCCGCTCCGGGGTGCCACGTTCTCGGGCATGGCAAACTTGGCTGGGTCTGCGCGGGCTCGGTAAGGACGGATGAACCCGGATTCAGGCCGGCCACAGAGTAACGGTAAGCGTCCACCGCCTCCACGAACCTTCTAGAAAGCGACGCCGGCGCCTGGAGGAGGCGGAGGCGGAGAAGGGGGCCTTCCTAGCGGTGCGGCGCCAGCGTGACGTAAGGCTGCCCACCGCGCGCCGGGTGAGGTGGTTGAGCGCAGGGAACTTCGGGCTCGCAGGCTGTCGGCCCAGGGCGTTGGGGATGAGAGGCGCGTTCACGTGATGCAGCAATGACAACACGCGACTTTAAAGGCGGATGCTAGGGACACCTATATCTTCTCGCTCCACCCTCTACGGCTGTAAGGTCCTCTCCTTTAAGTCAGGCTGGACCCTTTGGCGCGGTGCTGTGGGCACCGAAACTATTGCAGAATGGAAGTGACTGAGCTAGTATTCACCTGGACGGGCGGACCTGAGCTTTTCTCAGTTTTCATTTTGAAAAGGAGTCGGCAAAGAGAGATTTTGGATGAGTGGATGCTTTCCTTTGCTCTAAGTGTTGAGGTTAGTTGTCTCGTATTGATATTGGGTGGTAGAGGTTTAAATATACCCTAGTT